GAAAAAGTAGGTCTCCTGTTTATCGCCTGTTTCTCGTCTGTACGTCTGTCGGTCGGCTTGTCGTCTGTGTCGATTTTGTTAGACAGATAATCTCCGAAACTAGCGGACTGATGGTTGTTAACTTTTATATCTATCTTAGGAATATAGTGTAAATGGCGAAACGCTAACTGAAATTTATCTGATCATTCCCACCAACAATTTAATTACACCATCTCAAAATTTTGCATGTATTGTACCATACAAATTTTTAAAAATAATATACGAATCCGCTATGAATTAAAAAAATATATTATTTTTACAAATTAACATAGAAATTGCAACACCGACTAGTTTGAAATAGTTTTAACGATAACACAACCATGGTAAACCGTTAATAAAAATTATGTGTTATTAAAATTATCCCCAAACACTTGATGACGTCATCTAAAAATTTAGCTGTATAAATCCTGTCCAAAATGTGCAAAATATTATGAGATGTGGTTTTTCAGTGCATGCATTCATATTTGTTAGAATTTTTTCTACAAGATGACGCAAAGATGGATTAAATTTTTTTTCTCTCATTTTTTCGAAAATGTGAAAATACAGTGCTGTTATTATTAGTATTACTCTGTACTTACCCAAATTGATGTATTGTACTGTGAGAGCAAAACTATCGTAGGTTAAAATTTCAGATTTTTGTAAAACGTGTGTAGACCCTATTACATAACTGCAGTGTTTATGTGGGTCTAAAGTCTTAATCCTGGGTGATTTTAACATTCCTGAGTTCTGGGAACAAGCTAACAGAATAGGTTTAAAAATTAACAAAGTTCAGCAATTTGAGATTTTGGCATTATGTAATATTATGAATTATTTAAAGTACTCAGAGCAGATATAAAGAAACTATCCACAGAATCCTATACATTTTATTTGTAGACCCTCAGTACAAGAGTGAAAAAAGATCCGAAAAATTTTTGGAATTTCTTTAAAGCGAAAAATAAAATTAAATCAGTACCATCAACAATGACTTTGAACAATCAGCCACTAGACAATCCTCAACAAATAGTTGACACATTTTCAAATATTTTTAGTCAAATATATGTCCATTTTAATAAATCGTTAGTCAGTGACTTAGCAAATAAAATAAATGTTAACACCGTAGATATCTGTAATGTTGATGAAGAGACTGTGAGAAAGGCGTTACGTAAACTAAAAGAAACCCTAATAGCTGGACCTGCCTGAATACCATCTTTTCTCATTAAAGATTGTGCCGCTATCTTCTCGAAACCGTTAACAGCTATTTTTAATATGATATTCATCTTGCAAGTGTCCCAAATTTTGGAAAGAATCCTTTGTTACCTCCGTTTTTAAGTGTGGTGATAGATTTGACTTTTCGCGAAAATTTTTGAGGAGATATTGCATAATTTCATCCACCCTCACATATCTGGAATGATTTCCATATGTCAGCATGGGTTTGTAGAGGGGAGATCTACCATAACAAATTTAGTTTCGACGTTCTTGACAAGCATGGCAGGTTGATTGCCTTTACACAGATTTTTCTAGGGCGTTCGATACAATAAATCATAATCTTCTTATTGAAGAACTGGCGAATTTTGGATTTACATCTTCTCTTATAAAACTTATTTAGAAAATTAACATCAGTTTATCTCTATTTTTGGGTCTCATTCAAAATCATTTGTTCAATCATGTGGGGTTCCTCAGGGTTCAGTGTTGGGATCACTCTTCTCTAAATTATTTATTAACCACAGGACAAATAATTTAACATGTAATTATTTAATGTACGCAGACGATTTAAAGATATTCTCGGATATTAAAGATATCAGCGACTGTATAGAACTACAAATCAACCTCCATAAATTATCAAGTAGTCTCTGAGTTTCAAGCTCAACCACCCTAAATGCTTGGCAATGTCATACATAAGGAAACTTAAGACTACAGACTTTCAGTCTAATATCTCCAATAATATTTTAGAGAGACCAGAAACTATTCATGATCGGGGCGTAATCTTTGACACAAAGTTAACTTTCATCACACATATAGGTAACATACCTTAGTTTCATCTGTATATACCTAAATCCTTAGAATTTGTTATTCGCAACTGGAATATGCCTCGGTGATTTGGAGTCCTATTTATGATGTCCATGTTAGTTGACTGGAGAAAATTCAAAGGCGAAATATACAGCTTTCCTTATCGATGGTGTAGATCCTTGTCAGGGTTATCCTCAGGAACTTTTACTATAGAGATCTGGTTTACAAAGTTTGCACGTGCGACGAGTTACAGATTTCATTTCATTGCTTTATTTAATTATTGTAAACACCAGTATTAATTGTCCTGAATTATTGGAACAAATTTCTTTTCGAGTGCCCCGCTGTAACGCAAGAAGTAAAAGCTGTTTCGCAGTTCCTATTCCAAATTCAAGCATTACCAAAATGTCACCGCTTTATCAAGCAATCGACAATTATGTAAATATTGAGGAAAAACTTGACATTTTTGCATATAAATTATCCGATATCAGGGGACTGCTATCGAATGAATGTTGTTTAGATGATATTCATTTGTGTGTGAATCAGGATGTTTGGGTATGTGAGTATGTGAGTGCATTATTTACTTATGTTTAATTGTTACTAATTTATTAACTCATTGGGCTTAGCCTGTTGAGTTATTTCTATTAACAATAATAATATTTCTTTAAAGGGCATTTATAGCTATCTAATATTTGATTGTCATAGTAAATAGTGGGTATTTTTGAAACAAAAATGTTTTGATAATTTTGTAGTTGTATTTTCACTTACATATCACACTTAGATACGTTAGTTTTGCTCTCACAGTGCAGTATGTTGATGATCTCATCATAAAATTTTGTTATGAAAAACTCACTTGAAACATGCGCATAGCATGCTTCTTCATCTGTAATTTAACGTTCCACAGATATCTTCTTTATATGGGTTATCACTTATCATATAGAACAAATAAAATTTGCAAAAACAAATTTTATAATTTTTACACTGGATTTCTTTGAGTGTGTGTCAGGAATGAGCAAAGTTTTGTCTTAATAACCTTCGACAAGTTTTTATTTTAAATTTCTTCATCTTCTCCATGCTAAGTTAAGATAAAAATTTGTGTTTAAAAAAAATGCTTTAAAGTTATTTAGGGCCGTTTTATGCGTAACAGGATTACTTCGAAAATTACAAAGAAAATTTATGTTAGAAATTTGTGAAGAAAAATATTCTATATTATGATGGTAAAGCAAGCAAGAAATTGCGTAGACATTCAAAACATGACCATGCGTTTACGTTTTGAACGTGTGCGTAATTTCTTGCGCACTTTATCATCAATTATTTTTCTTGCAAAATTTCTAGCATAAATTTTGGATTTGTGTCCATTGTTAAGCACCCCGTAGCCCCTGCGCCATGGAGACCGCAGTCCGAATATTATTTTGGATAGGTAGCTGTAAATCTTATATTATTATTAGATATAGGTGGGCTTAACATTATTGAATTCTCAAATTTTCGAGAAAATGGGGCGAATCGTTCTTGACTTGATCAATAAAAAAAATGTGTGTCAGTCGAATCAGAGACCTTCGCATTAGCAATTCAACTTTTTTACTGCATAACCACTTCACCACTTCATGTTCATGTACCGGTATAAAATGTGATAATGCAATTTGGAATTGCCTAGGGCAAAAAATTAACGTAGATTCATAAACCACAAGTATAGGAGTATGTTATTTTATAAAATTTAAATAAACTTTACTAAGATAAAAAAATTGAGGGGCCGTCCAATCGTTAGTTGTAGATAAGTTTTGGTTAGAGTTTTAGCGTTTACACAATATCTATAATATACATACATAATTTGACAAGAATCGGTCCAGTAGTTGGATTTATTTCTCTTTAATAAAAAGTTGATTTGATGATCAAAAAATTGTATTACGAAAATCTCTTTTCACAATTCCAGCATAGCTGACTTCTTTACCTGGGGTTTAATAACTTCTTACTTTTGTAACATAATTATAGGTATTTAGATCTGTTGTACGTACGCTTTAAATGCTTTAAATTTATTGCCGTGCGTACTAAAACGGAAAGTTTGTAAAGACTACTCGTACTGTATATATTATTATATTCCTTATTTAAAGCGTCACATGATGATATTGTTTCTCAAAATATTTATGTTTTCCTCAGTAATTCCTTTCTGCTTCAAAGTTCGGCGGTAGGCTACACACACCTGTTTCACCGCCACCATGTCACTGTAAATATGAAATACTTTATTTGCTGGACTTTTAGCCTGCGGATTCCACGTCAGTCAATTGTCTTCTTACATAGTTAAATCCATCCCTTCGAAGGAAGTACATCCAACTTTCCAGCAGAGAATCTATATTCGGCAAACATTCCTCCTTGTGATTGAAACGTAAAATATTTACAAGTTTTAGAAGCAAACGTTAATAATAAGACGTAGCATGGAAATTTGGCATGTATAGCGGCAAAAGCTTGTTAATAATAAATTTCCATAATAAAAAAAACACAATGCAGACATCAGATGGTATACATTATTAAGTGACTTTATCTACATTACAATAGTTGTGGATTTGCCATGCCAGTACGCATCGGTTACTTCAACGTGTGGAAATTAAAAAAGTTTGAAGCGCGTAAAAACATAATCAGCTTATTGAATCAAACTTTTCACGTGAGATTTTGAAACATACAGAAAAACTCTTTTCACCTCGTCTGTACAGTTTTATTTGAGGCTTGTCAGATAATGTCATGAGTGTGAAAACTCTAGTCACGATAGCGTAAAAGGGAGGTGAAATATCTTGATGAAATGCGGAAATATTTTATTAGGAACGACATTTTCTGTCGATATAATTCTCGTCGGCTTTACGCTAATAGAAATATACACTGAGGTCATTTTTTTCGCAATTCTGGAAAATACCTGTTTCATTACTGTGGTGATTAAAAAATGTGTCATATTTTTCGGACAGGGATTTAAATTTTTTGTTCTCTTTTAGGTGAATTCGGAGGTTTGGGCCTGTCGTTTACCTCCCGCCCTTGCCCCCGACTCTGACGATATGGTAAGTGAGAGAGTTTGTAATTTCTGTTCATTTTTTAATGTTCACTGAGCATTAACCGCTTTCAGTTGACTCTAATTGTTTGTTATATGCGATTAAACAATTTTAATGAGAATTTAGTTTTGTTTATCCGTATATGGCTGCAAGCGTATGAAAACGGAAAGTATTCGCTGGTGCATTAACAATTTCAATAAAAAGTCGATACTTTTTAAAAACTAAATGGTTATAAACTAATGTACCTAATTTGTGCATTTGACATTTTGCAATGAGCATTTTATACTTTTTGTAAATATTAGAGCTTTTATGTAGTATTTTATCTTATCACAAATAATATATAAGCTATAATTATGCACAACCATACTTACATTATAGGATTTTTTTTCCTATTAAGAGGCGAACTATTTTCACTATGCTAGTGTTACTAGAATTTGGTAGGTCGGTACCTGCTTTTGCGAGAGTTTTACTTCCAGTTTTTAATAATGAATGTGGTCATCAATTTTTATCTATAGAAAAAGATAATATTTATGTATTAAGAACTATAGGAAAACAGTATATTGTATTCACATGTGTTAATAACGTGAAAGTGTTTAGCAATTCCCCTATGTTTCACTCTTCAGATGAAATATAGAAGAAATATATATTTATAATAATAATAATATTAAATATTTATTATAGCTGTTCCCTAAGTTTATTTTATTTCTTGCAACGAGAATAAGCAACTTGATAAGATTTTTTTGTACCCAAAACTGTCACCAATAGGACATACAGTAACGGCCAGAAAATCTTGGTCGTCAATGTCATTGTACCTACTGTCGTAAAGTGTGAAACACCTTTAAGTATTGTAACCTTAATTTTTCAGTTTTGTCATTTTTGACACTGTAGGCATGCGATACTGGATGCGACGCGACAAATCTTTTAAACTTCAAACGTCAAAATGACAATAAATCATAGATTACATTCATTTTTTAAAAATGTCAAGATAGTGATGTCCGATCTCAGGTCAATTGATGCATTTTTTTTTTATTTTGGAATTTAACTAACAAAATTTGCAAGATTTGTTCAAGAAATCAATATATTTCTTTTCTGATAGGAATTAATATCCATCGGCTTCACCTATTTTGACATAAGTTTGTACAGATATTAACAGCTGTCTAATTTCTGAACCAAAATCGACTATGTACTTTATTACGCGTGTAAAATACAGAACATTATTGATTAATTCGTAGTTTAAAAAAGTGTACAATCGCGGCCACAAAATTTTGAACGTCATTGCCATTCCATTGTTACAAAGTGTAAAACACCTTTAAGTATTGTAACCTTAATTTTTCAGTTTTGTGACTTTTGACATCACGGCCATGCTGGCGCTGGATATAACGTAGTATATCTTTTAAATTTCAAATGTCAAAGTAACAATAAGACTACATAAAAATTTTCAAAATGTCAGATAAATGACGTCCAAGATTTTGTGACCGCCACTGTATTTTGAGCAAAAAAGATTATTATGCCAGTTCAGCAAAAGACCAAAGAACAATACCAATAAGAGTTAAAATATAGAGGGGCACGGATACTACGGTGTACTACGGAAAGCAGTTTAGTTAATTTATGAATTTTCGTTTACAAGTGCTTTGTGAATGACAACTTACAATATAAAAATTTTAGATGACATTCGATAAATATATTTTCTTTTATTGATTTATCGGTTACGAACAGGTGTCGATAGAATCAACGTTCCCAAAACCAGTACATCGACCATATATTATTTACTCCTATATCCTGTATTCTTTACCAATCACATGCAAAAGGTATCAATAGTAAAACACCTCATGTTTTTGGTGCAGTTTCGAACAACTGAATGTTCGTTGGAATATTCGTTAGAATATTTTTTGGACAAAATGAATTAACTGCCAAGCTTCCAGAGGTTACAAATTTTATTGAAATGCTTGGTAGATCATTGTTTTCAAAAAGATATTGGAGAACAACTGGGAGTTGAAGAATCTACAGTTGGACAGGTTGTGGTTTTCGAAAGCACCAAATTGGATTAAATTTACTAAATCTGATAGTGAAATCGTAGATGTTAAATTATTATGAACCTAGGTTTGTTGTCTGTCGTCGTCAATTGATCCGGTTAAATATTTTTCCGACATTAAAAAAAAAAAAAATAAACTTTTTAGCAGTAGCAGAACAATGCAGAATATATTTTAGGATGAGAACAAAGATATTTTGCAATAAAGTTTAAATCATTCTTGGTTTTTCGTTCTTTATTACTACTGAGTCTTCGTTTTCCGACGTTTTAATTACGATCGTACAATGAATAGATTCAGTGACCAAAAGAAACACGTTATACTAATAAATGTATTAGATTATCTCCATAACAACAAAGATGTGTTGAAGTTGAAGAAAAAAAGGAAAACGAAATTGGCTGCCGAGTTTCGGAAAAATCTGTCTACAGGTTACAACAAAGTATAGGTTTAAATGTTTACTTTTATTATTTAAGAATATAAAGACACCAATGAACCCTTTAGTGTTTGCATTAAAAAATCCATGACAATTCGTAATATACGCGAAAATAAGGTTACTACTATTAGACAAAATCACAATTTAAGGTGTTTTGACTAGACTATATCCTTCAATGTCCTATTTGTACCAAACCTTACGCTGTTTCACCAACTGATATTTCGTGGTGGGAGATATAATTAAATTGGTATTGTCAGGAGTGTACTAGTATAAAAACTTGTCAAAATTTCGATGAACCTTAAGCTACTATGTATAAGTTAGCTTTAGCTTAGAATTTGGGAATTAAAAACGACTCTCGGTCAATAGGGAACATCGACTACGTTAATACCGGTATTGGAACGTGAAAAAAGTACCTATTCAGGAAGTATCTAAAATGGAAGAACTTAAGAACAACGTTGTAGTATGTGGATTAAAAAGACTTTAGACGTTAATAAAAATAAACAATCTGAGCTGGGTAAGCAGTCTGCTGTAAATAAATATGTAGGTAAGCTGGATGATGCCTGTGATGTTATTTGTAGTGTTGCGCGAGTACGAACGTTTGATCCGACTAAAACCAAAGTTTATCTTTCTAGCGTCTAGCGAACATTTTAAAAATGTTTTTAAGTTAAAAATGTTTGTTGAGTGGAATGCCGTTTCCTTTTCGTAAAGTTAGAGTAATAACTCTGAGGCTATTTTAATTTATTCAAATTTTCAAAAAATTCTAACATTTACAAGGCAGTTATTTTAACAAATTGAGGTGATTTCTTGGATTATGTCCATGTCAATCGGCATGGAAAAAACTCGATCTTATTTTTGGTAACATCAATGGAATAACAACTGTGCATTATTCATTTCATTATAAGTAAAAAATCTCATTAACACTACATTTCTAAAATCCTCAAGCAGTCAATAATTTTCGAAGGACTCATTTTTTTACGTTGTATGATGAATCTCGATTTGTTTTTTATCGGAAAATATTCAAATATTAATATTGCTTTAATTAATTTTTATTCACCTTTTCCAAGATATTTGATAAACGATTTTCAATTTCAAAATATTCGGTCAGTAACTATGATTGTTCTTATTGGTTTACATCGGACATTTTCAGGAACACGAAACTGAAAGACTGTTTTGGCGGAAACAGAAGCCATTAAAAATCCGGTTCAGCTAAATGAATTTAACTTACAAATTAATGAAACTTCAAATTAAAGCAATGGATTGTTTATTTGTTTATTTATTTTAAACAATCTATCAAATCTAATGTGAAACAGTTTTGAAATTTGTATGGTTAATACGTGTGAATCTATGAGTGCTGATAATACATATATATTAACTTGAACTGAAGAATGCAAGGTTTCCTAAATTATGAAAAAATTTATAAATATATTTACTGTTAATCAGTGCTTAACAAACTTTTACATTGGGAACGTTGCTTCAATTCTAAATCAACCTTTAACTTTTTTAATAAGGTAACAATTTTGATGTATCTAACTGCCCCTTAATTACCATCATAAATAATTTTGCAAGGGTCCTACCTTCTTTGATATATTTACTAATGATTTACCCGATTTTCTGTTTTGTAAAGTTTTAGTAATGCTGATGATTTAAACATTTAATCATATAAACAAATTTGAAGATCTAGTAGCTACTGTTTTACTTTAACATATTGATATCAATTGATATTATAATAGTTTGGTGTACTAAATGTTATTAGTTTTAAATATCAATAAATGCTACTTGGTTCTGTTTAGTAGAAAAGAAGATACTTATCTATTGTTATATAATAGTTTAAGCAATCCATTTCATATAAAATCCAAAGTTTGTGATTTGTATATTATTTTTTACGATCAGTTGACGTTTGTTGACTATGTTAACCATATTCGCAGCAGTGCAATTAAAGTACTAGGTTTACAACATACCGGCTGTAGAATCGTTTTTGGAACATAAGGATTGTACATGTAAAAGCAGAAATTAGCAAATATGGGGTCCCTTAATTATTTTAGATCCACATGTTGCATACAAAAGTTATAGAGAACAAAAAACTGTACCTAAATCATTGTTTACTCTTTTTGTAACACCTTAGGGTATTGAAATAAAACTAACTTAGATTAAATGTTCACACACAAGAACAGCTTCAATTTTTTCTATACTAGCACCAGGAATATTCCGTTGCCACCTGCAGTATTTGTTTACAGTACAAACGTGCAATTTAAACTTGTAGGAGTCTTTCGATTGTTGATGGTCTTGAAATTTGTCGGTTTGGGTACTGCAAGAATTCCTGAAAATTTCCGGTCTGGCTACGCGTCGTAACGTGCAAGAACAAAACGCGTAAAATTCAGTAATTAGTGACAAATTAATAAACTGTCAATGAATTATCACATTTCGTGGCTAGTACTATTTTATCAGAAATCGCGAATTTTTCTTCTTTTATTTCAATACCATAAGGTGTTACAAAAAAGGATTTAGATACAGTTTTTTATTCTCTAATATTTGTATTTAATATTTCGCTC